ATGCTGTATTTGGCATGAGTCTGTGGTTAGCAGGGCACAGTGAAAGAAGTTGGTTGCCGTGTGAAGTTGGAGGTGTGCATCCTGTCACCTGCAGCTCTTCATTTAACAGCTCACTGTGGCTGCTCTTGACTGTTCTGTTCCTCCCTGCAATATTTCAAAGTACTAATCTGCTGTCAACAAATGCTGAAAATGACAGTTATCTTGTTTTGTAGACACATTTTTGATGAACGATCGCTGGAAGTGCTGAACTCACTGAAAAACATGTTTCGCCTGTTAAATGCTTTTAATGTAAAGCTGCAGCAGAAGGAAATGTTTGGTTTGCATTTTAGCAGTAACTTCATACCATATTCTTTCATCAAATGTCAGTCCTTTGACACCCAGTTCCAGGGGTCCACCATCAGGAGAGGCAAACCAAGCAAATGTTTGGGTCCCCCCTAAAAACAATTTGGGAAAAGGGGCCCCAGATGGCCATGCACATTGGCATAATTTGCTGTGACAAGTAAACCCCCTTAAACTTGCCAAAAAAGCACCATTCTACCACTTAAGTGAAAACCTTTTAAGTGGGGCCCCTTCTAGTTACCGTATGAAAGCTGGATACCCTTAGTTATGACCGTCAGCTAACTACCTGTAACCGTCAGTCATACATACAACGTTCAGTGTAACCGTCACCACAGCCATTGGCACCTCAATAGGCTTCTTTGCCAGGGGCCTCCAGAGTCTAGAACCGGCACTGCCCAGTTCATAATACTGCAAATATATAAATATTGCAATACTTCAGTGGGCCAGAAGCTCAATCGCTATTGACACCTCATTTATGACTTAACGGACATTTATATAAATGAAAGTCTTCAAGGTTATTACTTAAAGTCGACGTCTCAGCTCATGCAGAGTTAAACTTCCCATGCACCCTCCTAACCACAATGTTGTTCTCTTCTGACTTGGGGTGTTTGCTAGAAACAGCACGTTACACAAATCGGCCAATGTATTTATCAGGAACTTGTGTTTCACATGAACTGTTGAGTCTGGTTTGGGTCTGGAGCCTCAATAAACAGCTCCATCCAGTATAAATAGCAGAGCCTTTGGTCTGCTGCCACTGTGGCTGAGTGCAGCAGCAGGGAGGAACAGCTGTAGTCGCTCTGTCGCCGAGACCAGATCACTCCTCAGTCGTCCTTCCAGTCCCGTCCATGCTGTCTAACATAAGCAACACATGAGGACCCAGAGCCTGTTTGAGAGCCTGGCTGTAATTTCACCCACCAACCTGCAGCACGTACCTCCTGCATGTGTGTGTGTGTACCTGTGTTTATATGCATGGTTGATGTGCAAGTGTCTGCAAATTAAAGCTGCACTTATTAATATTTTCATCATCAACAGTGGATCAAATGATTGTGTAATGTGAGAGGGATCAGCAGCAGGTAGTTGATTTCAATGCAGTAACTCCACACTACACTACCTGCTCATCACCAAATGGCAGACAAAATAACCAACTAACTAAAAACATAATTAATGCAGCTTTAGTTCTCTTTGCAATTTATACGTTGTTTTTTTTTTTAACTTAAAAATTGTTTCAAAGTGCACTCTCTGTTAAATGACAGGATTTTGACTTCACATCCTTGTACACTATGTTCTCACTTGAAAATCATATCTAAAGCTCATTGAGTCTGTAGTGGGTTTAATTTGTAAAACAACAGAAGCAACTTTATCCACAACTGCAATTAAATCATTCCACAACCAGAAACCATAGATTACCAGAACCATCTGGGAACATGGACAATTAAAAAGCCGCAGCCTACAATGTAAGACGACACAAAAAGGACTAAGTTACAATGCACATGTAAGAGAGGCCGATGGGATCATATCTCACAGTTGTATGATTTCATGTGACAAAAAAATGGTTGATTGATCTCTACATAGTTTAGTTGTGCATATCAGGTATGGTACTGACATGTGGAGCACTAAATTGGCAAAGACAATCCTGTCTTAAAGCTGTATGAAAAGCCATAACCATGCAAAACAAAGACTATGTACACTTTGTACAGTCAATTCACATATCACTGACGGTACATGATTCAGATAAGTTTTACGGTTTGGGAAAAGAGATTTGGAGTATAGAAAATGCAGGTAAATGTTTGCAAAAAGCTCTCCACATCACAGACACTTAAGTGATCAAACCAACAGGAATCAGAATACAAGCATGTTACAGTGAGACACTTGCCAGCATGAGATATTTTTAAATGGTTCAGTAGATGACAGCAATCTGAAACATGCACAGTTGCACAATACCTGACTGAAAGCTGAAAACATTAATAGGTAGAACATGACTGCAGTCAAAGTGAATATCCTGTGTTAATGTGAAATGCTGGCTGCTTTAAACGAGGCCTCCAGGTGCCTGATGTGTCGCTTGGCCTTGCTCCCAGAACAGTTTGTAAAGGAAGGATTAGGCTGTGTTAATTGGATAGATGGTCCAAAAAGATTAGGTGCACCGAGAAGCATTTCCTCACCCCTTCAGCCCAACATAGTCGCTGAAATAATGGAGCCCTCAACTGTAAACACAAGGGCCCAGATACAGTGTGTTAATGTGCTGACAGAGCTGTCGGCCCGGGAGGAGGCAGCGTGGTGTTGATGTGTGACCTGAGCACAGTCGGGTCAGAGTTAGAAAAGAAAAGGTGATTCCACTGAAACTTTCATTCAAAAAATCTCCTGTGGAAAAAGGGAAATTTATCACCATGTATGTCTGCCTGAAAATGATGATCAGCTGTTCTAAGAGCCCATCCTCAGGACAAGTGACAGCACATCCAGATGATCGACAGATGTTCGGATCCTATCTTTAAAGTTCAGGATTTCAGCATTACATTTCATGCTTTTGGAAGTTTACAGATTCCAGGATATTCAGGAGCACCAACAACCTGCAAAAATGAGTGGATAACCTTCAATTTATTTAAATCTAAAGTTGACAGTAGCACCACAAATAAATACTGCTGAGCATTTTCTCTCCTCCGTCAGCTTGCCACATCTCTTGCAACAGAAAGCCCTATTTAAACAGTCTACAGTGCACGGTGCAGGTGCATTTAAAGCACATCCAAAGTGCAAGGGCCAAAGGGGTTGCATATAGTCCCTTAATTAATCATAGGTGTGTTTGGGGCTTACCATGATTTTAACCAATGAGAGTGTCATCTCCCATTACCTTTTAAAAGCCAGGTGTGCCTGCACCTGGTGCACTGCTATCTATATTCCAGATTAGGCAAATTGGAGAAACCAGCGATTTTGATTTCACTGCAGCAGATTACGAGGGACATATAAGCCGCAAAACTAAAAACTGTAGTGATAACCTTTACAAAGGAAGTAGAACTAAACCTTTAGCTTCTGAAATAATCAGTGAAGTTATGCTGCTCCTCATGTGTAAATGCAGACAGTGTCTCTCATAATGGGAAGACAGTCAGCAGCTCTGCCGCTCCTTTGTGCTCTCTGCTACGTTCACATTTTAGGGAATATAATATAATTTTCTGATGCTGTGTTATTTTACCCACCTGTAACCCATCCACGCATCCCTGTGTGTGTAACAAGCAGAGTGTACATGCATTGTGAACCTGCCTATGTAGACTTATCTTACTGCCTTAATAATGTGCCCTTCAAATAGCAGCAAAATACTGTGTCGTTCTGACTATCAACCAGGTTGTTGTTGGTCTGAGGCAGAGGTGTCGAACTCATTTTAGTTCAACAGGTCACATACAGTCCAATTTGATCACAGGTGGTCCGAACCAGTAAAACCATTGCATAATATCCTAGAAATAACAAACACCTTCGGATGATGAACAATCTGTGATGTTTTCAGAAGAATAAATGCAATTTCAAAAATATTTCTGTTTTTCCACATTCTGTCAGTGTACTACTCAGTGTCATTAGATGCGCATTTTTCTAATTATTTCCACTCCTGTGTCATAATCTTAACATCATCACACCAAGCTAATGTGAAAGAAAAGAACTGTATTCTGATCGGGGTGGAAAAGCCTCTGAAGCAGCATTTTACACAAAGAAAGCTATTTGCTGATTAACTTGCTCCTGAAACCTGGCACCTCTCAGCCTTCACAAGTGCATCACTATTAGGTGTGCAAAGTCTTCCAGTGGGCCAGACTGGACCCTTTGGCGGGCTGGTTCTGGCCCCTGGGCCGTATGATTGACAACCCTGGTTTAAGGCATAATAGCTTTCTGTTGCTTCAAAATAGCAATGAGCCAAGAATTCCAATGACCGCACCTTATTTTAAGACTCACAAGCCCACCGGCACACAAATGGACGTCACTGTAACAATGACAACTGCGTCGGTCTGAAACTAGCAATGACCGTTTGTGTTGGGTGTAAAATAGGGCCCTTGGTCTTAGAATGACAGCTTCCCCCACAAATGTTTGACTCAAAAACCAGGAGTTAAGTGAGTCTACAGTTGAGCTAGCAGCTCTGTGAGGTTGTATTCAGACACAGAGATGCTTTGAGCTGAATGCTACCGTGAGCATTCTAACATGCCTATAAAGACGATGCTTTCTTGCTGATGTTAAGCCTTCCTATGTTCATGATCGTAGCGTAGCATGACAGCATGCTAACATTTGCTAATTAGCACTAAAAAGTACAGTTGAGGCTGATGGGAATGTCATAAGTTTTGCAGATGTCACTAGATGAAAAGTCAGGGGATCACCAAAGTTATTAAAATCCATCCTGATAAGGACATGAATATATGTGCCAAATTTCATGGCAGTCCATCCAGTACCTCAGCCTGAACAAAAGTGGTGGACCAACAAATAGACTTTGCCCTTCCCATGTCCACTACATGCTATCCATCCACGGATGACGGATATCCTTGGTGCTTTTGAGTTCGTCCCTATTTCGTCATATCTTTAAACTGTATTTCATTTTATCATAGAAGACCTTAAAGTCAGTTTACACTCTCCCAGAACCTTATAGAGTTGAAAACCCAAACCATGCCAAACCCATATCCATGTCTGTCTTGCTGCAGGTCCTTTAAGCCAGACTTCGTCCTGATTCGCCAGCACGCCTACAGCATGGTCCCCGGTGAGGATTTCAGGAACCTTGTGATCGGCCTGCATTTCGGTGGCGTCCCAAGCAGCAACTCTCTCTTCTCCATCTACAACTTCTGCAGCAAACCTTGGGTGGTAAGCGATCTTTAACTGCTCTCTTTGCTCTACTTTAACCCACACAAAGGTGTCGTGAGTCCCTCCCTCGGCGGCTGCCTCCGACTTTTTATTTGGGCTGTTAAAGGGAGCTGTAACACCTGTCTCTGGAGTCGGCGAAGCCAGTGGCCTCCACTACCACACATTATAACTCAGTGTATACTCAGAGAAAACAAAATACAAGACTGTAGTGAAAACCATGTGAGTGCTTGGCTCTGCCTGGGGTCATAATTGCAGTCTTGTCACTTACAGCACAGGTTAAAAGGAGCAAGTACATTCCACAAGAGACAACCCATACTTTAACAATGTGGTGAAAGAATGCATGTCTCCCTGTTGTAGCTCATTTACCTCATACTTACTTAAGATAAGATAATTTCTGTTGATTGTGATGCTCAGTGAAAAATGAAATAGTAAGTTTAAATAATAGGTAACACATAAGTAAGTCATTGGTAATTTAGTGTTTATCTATCAGTCTGTTCCTTTGGTTCCTAAACTTTTATAATTGTATTAAATCAGTATCTATCAATATTAAAATTTGCAGGTGCTCTGCAGGTATTTGGAATAGGCAGAATAAGCAATTAATTACAATGTGATGTGTGACATCGACGCCACGTACAATGTTGCGTAAGTTATGTTGCAACGGCATTCCTGCAACGGCTCTGTTAGTTGAGTTCTATCTAAAAAAAAGAAAATAATAAAATGTGATGTAGTACGGTGTGATTATTTGAAACAATGTCTTAACTGAATTTACAGAACAATTACTGCAAGATGATACATACCATTAATTTGATATAAAACTACATATGCAGTGATAAAAGATTTTGACCATATCACCCAACCCTAAGTGTTCAGTGTATTTACATCATTCTCTTCGAAATTAAAATTAGCTTACAGTTAAGGTGTACAAGGGCAAATGTAAAAAGAGGTATTTGCTGAGAAAATGGTGGAATTTTGATGGTACATTTAAGCCTGCTGTTGATCTAAAACATCAACAGTAAATGTCAGGTTTTGTTGACTGGGCCTCACAATCAGAGTAAAGCTGCTTTCACACGGCTGCATGGGAACCGTCCTGACAGCTGCCGACCTGCAAGAGCACTCCCCAGAAAAGCAAAGTGTTTTTAAATATGGGTGCTATAGGTATGGTCTGGGGCTGCGATGACAGCCAGGTGCTTTGGTGATTGTCAGTGATGGAAGTGAAAACTAGCTTGGTGCCGTGAGTATAACTGCATACTGCATTTTTAACTGCATTATTAGCTCCTCCATCTTGTCCGCTTCTTGCTTCTGCGATGCCTGCTCCCTTCTGTTTGATTGGCCAAAGTTAAGCAGCTACCTCCAGAAGTTCAACATGATGGATTCTGCACACCAGAGCAAAATCTATGCCAATTCACATGGGCAGCAACCACCTCCTACCCCTAAGGCTGTGTTTAAAACCACTTCCCCTCTGTTGCTCTCCCTTCATTGAAATGATTGCAGGCGGCGAGGTACTGTGTGAAAGCAGCTTAATTACTTTCTGCACCCAGCGAAGCAGAAAATTGCCCAGAATACAATGCAGCTACAGTGTCAAGCTAACCACAGTGTTATGTTGACCCACAGCTGGATGCAACAAGTTCAGACCCATTAACTGAAGTAGGTAAGACAGGTAAGAGGAAGTAGGTCCACAAGAACGGAAAACTGCAACAGAATCTGACAGTAGATTTCTTTTCTTCAAGGGCAGCAGGTGTTCAGAGTCGTAACTAACTGTACTGGGTCACGTTTTATAAGCAGGGCCATTATAAATAATGTGCTATGAACACAGGTTTAATTTCTATTTAGCTTCTCCTGTCCTCCACTGCTTAAATAATGACGTCTGGCTGTCTTGTTTATTTCTTCTTGCAGTTTTCTCAGATGATTAAGCTCTACCACTCTCTTGGTCCTGAAAAATTCCCCCTGAATGAACAAACCTTCTATCCAAACCACACGCAGATGGTGAGTGCCTCGCAGATATTATTCTTTATGAACGCATTACAGAGAACAGACGCACACAGAAATGACCATTGACCTCCTGTGGCCCGTTTTTCATTAAATCTTTATTATAAAAATATAAAACACAGAAATTAAGTCAAACATTTCTATAACCCCTACAAGGAAACCCCACACACACACACTTCAGGAATCAGTGTTTACACACAGACTGTACACAGCTTCCTTGATTGGATTTTTTTCTTTAAGGATCAAACTTGACCAAGTGTTTCTGTGTTAAGCAGACAGTATATTTACACAAACATGAACCACAGAAATAGTGACACAGAAACGCCACAGCTGGAGAAAAAGCCTCGTCAACATGTAGAAAGACAGAAAGGACGTTTTGTACAAAAAAAAATCCCTCGAAGGTCAGTTATTATTAACTTTTCTTCTAACCTCTTTAAAACAAAATCATCAGGACTTTCTGTGTGTTGCAAACTCAAGCCAAAGACTATACAGACGGAAATTTTGAGCAAGAAAAAATTAAAAATGAAAATGGATAGAGGGATGTTTTGTTGAAAGTACTTGTGCAAAATTAAACAGGGTAGATTAACATCACTTAAAATCATTTTATTGTAATTTTGTTAAACTTATCAGACCAAAATTGGCCTACTGTTGAGTGTCCGATATAATTCATAGCTGCCCTCCTCCCCTGATATGATCTGACTTTATTGTCAGGAAGTGGTCTAAATGCTGTTTTCACATGAATAAAACTGAGGGATAACACATTTTTGTCATTTTGGAATGGAGCTGAATGAATAAAAAGAAAATTGCTTATTTGTTGCTGATAGACCGGAATTTCTGTACGCTTCCACGTCTGTCTGTTCAGCATGAAGCTACAGCCAAGAAGAGACGGTTAGCTTAACTTAGCGTTAAGACTTTAAACTAAGCTAACTAGCTGCTGGCTGTTGCTTAATATTTAGCATAAAAAGTGGTATCAATCTTCTCAGCTAGATTAGCTACCATTACCTTCCATTACCAATTAGCTTAGCTAGCATAAAGATTGGAAACATGAGGGGAACATTAAGTATTTCCAACGTTTACAAAAATTTGTATTGAGCACCTCCAAATCAATAATTAACAAGCTGTATGTCATTCGTTTAATTTGTTAATTCATGAGTTGGTAGGTATCTTTTTTTTTAAAAGCCAGACAGAGCCAAGCTAGCTGTTTCCCCCTACTTCTAGGCTAACGCTAACCTAGGCTAACAGTTTCGTATTTACTTTCTTGCTGATAGATAAGAATTTTGGCATCCTTCTCATGTCTGTCTGTTAAAAGTGAAACTAGAGCCACAAGGTGCTTAGCTTAGCTTAGCTTAGCTTAGCGTTAAGAAAACTGAACTAACCGGCTGCTGGCTGTAGCTTCATATGTAGCATATAAGAGTGGTATATCTTCTCATCCATCTCTAAGCAAAAAAGCAAATTTCCCAAAATGTTGAACTACTCTTTTTTAAAACCACCAACTTGGTTAAAACCTCAGTGCATTAGCGATGCAAGATTCTTTTACTGTCAATGATGAGGGGGCTGTTACTTCCTCTGAAGCAAATCTGTGTCTGTTAATGGAATGGACTGAAGGTACAGCACTGGGAAAAAAAAAGAAAAACCCTACATGGGGAACAGGTGAAGAAGAATGAATTTAGTGACAATATTGTTACTTTCATTTATATATATATATATATATATATATATATAATGTCCATTTGAAATAGTTAAATACAAAAAGATTGAATATACACTTACAAAATATCTCATTGTCTGAAACCTCTGCTTATATTTGACTTTCACTGGATTGGTGAAGAGTACCAGTCAGGGTAACTATGATCGAGCTAACAAACAATAGTACCATAAGTACCATACCATAGGAGATGCTGGTCCTTCATTCTGGACGGTTGCACAGGCTGCGATGGTTGTCACAATGTAGTTTTGACCTGTTACATATTTTTTTCTTATTTTTCTTTGCAGATAATACCACATAGTTACTGTGTTATCCAATAAACATATAAATAAATGTATTACAGAGGTTTCAGCTGAGTTCATTTCTGTAGCTTATGTTATATACAGCAAAAAATAAAATATCACCATCTCTGCAAGAAGTCGGCCCTCCACAACGTTGGCACTGCGACAGATATTTTTAGCATTTCTCTGATATTCAACAGTGCGCAACAGAAAGGGCGTTGTTTGTGATATAACTGCAAAATGAGTTACATTGCAAACATTCAGGTAAGCAGAGATACTACCATCCATAAAGACACATGTTACAGTAAAAACTGTGAACATAATCAATGTATACTTCACTGTAAAACAATACCATTTTCAAAAGAAAAAATACTGAGGCCGAAATAAGAGGTATAACTTTAAGAGATCATACCTCACATTGGCACTCGATCTGTATTGTTGATGTCTAGAACTGCATGAGTCTAATGCTAGCAAGTGCAGTTCGGTAGCAACAATGTAACAGCTTTACATCTTAAATTTACATAGTGATCATTGGCAATACTTTTTTCATTGATAGAAATTTGTCTGACACTTGACCTTTCATTTTGAGAGTCCTTGTTTTTTTGTGACGATAAACTGCCTCTATGCACAAAGAGAACATAATACTAGGTTAGCAATCAGCTAATTAACAAAAGTCGCTACTTGAGCAATTATACTTATTGATACTTTCAACTGTGTACAGGTCACTGTGGGTCTTGGAGATTAGTTCTTCAGTTCTGAAGATCAATAGAGGTTGATCAAGGTCTTACACTACTTATTGGCCTTATGAATGTCTGTCACCTTTTTAACACCACTGAACCCTGAAGAGATGGTTTGGTGCAAGGACTGTTTGATTCGTGGTTTGGGAAAATGTTCAACAGGGCGATCTGAACGACAACAAAAAAAGGTATTGTTTTCTATCAGAAGTGCTACGAAACAGGCACTGTAATGGATTTGTTCTTTTCTCTTTTTTGCCCCTTTAATGAGGCTGTCACCCAGGCCAGTGAGCTTTAAGAGTCCTGTAATACTCTAGAAGTGATAAGGATGGGACGGAGTCAGGGAGGCGGCAGTGGATTTTGGGCAGGGTGCATTGGGGTTCAGGGGTCGGTGGCGTTGATGGTGGTTTTGTCGCGTGAGGTCATGCCCCGGTACCAGCTGCAGTAGCCCTCCTTCTGCTGGATGCAGGCGTAGTGCCGGGACTGGTAGCCGGGATAGCCGAAGTGGGACAGCATGTCCGTCCATAGGCACTCGTTCTTTGAGGTCACGAAGCAGGGTAGGTAGTGGCAGGGTTTAATCTACAGAGACACAAGCGAAACTAAAGATGTAGCCATGAAGCATGAAATTGTGTACCAGCAACAAGTAGTGTAGACTCACTGTGTTTTTAGTTAAATTGTGTATCCTTTCACTGTGTTACTATAATGTACCCTACTATATTCTGAAACTCAATCCCTCCTTTACTTTTTTTTTCTTGGTCTCTTTATAATTTAGTCACTTTCATTTGATCATACTCAAAATAATTTAATTTAAGTACACTCTTAAGTTACCTTTGACATTTTAGATAATAGGTTTTGCTTGTTTTCCTTGCAAGAGTTAGAAAAGAAGATTGACACTGGAAACAAGAAGGAAAACAGTAGGCCTTTCCAAAGTTTACAAAACTTAACATTTAGTACCACTAAATCCCCAATTAACAAGTTGTATCTTGTTTGTTTATCATGTTAATTTGTGAGCTGGGAGGTATCTTTTAAAAGCTGGATAGAGCCAAGTTAACTGTTTCCCCCTGCATACAAGCTAATGCTAACCTAAGGCAACAGTCTCCCATATGCTAGAAAACAAATAAGCATATTTCCCATACTTCCTGAAACTTAAAATAATTTAATTTAAATACACTTTTTAGTAAGGTTAACTTCGAAAAGAATAGTTTAGCATTTTGGGAAATAGGTTTATTGTTATGTTAGCAAGAGGCAATTGGTGGCAATTAGCTTAGTGAGCATAAAGATTGGAACTGTAGGGGCAACAGTAGGTCTTTGCAAAGTTTACAAAAATTCACATTTAGCACCTCTAAATCACTAATAAGTTGTATCTTGTTTGTTTATCATGTTAATACATGAGCTGGTAAGGGTTCTTTTCAAAAAGCTTGATAGAGCCAAGCTAGCTACTTACAGGCTAATGCTAACATAAGCAAATGATCTCCTGGCTCTAGCTTGAAATTTAGCGTACAGATGTGAGAGTGGTATTAATCTATTCACCTAAATCTTGCCAACATCCAAAATGGACAATCCTTAAACTTTGCTTAACGTTGTATTAGGCTAGTTTTATTCTATTTTTTTGATGTTTCATTCGCAAGCTACTGGAGAGAGCCAAGCAAGCCGTTTCTCCTTGCTTACAGGCTAACGCTAATGTAAGATAACAGTCTCCTGGCTCAAGTGTTAGCACACAGACGCAGGAGTGGTATTAGCCTCTTTGCCTAAATCATGACAAGAAAACATATATGTATATATCCCAAAATGAAGGACATTTTCCTTCAATGTTGCTTAACGGTGTGCTGGGCTTTTTTTTTTTTTTTTTTTTTGAAGCAAGCCATAATTGGCAGTAGCTTTCAACTTCAACGACAGTGAGTCTACAGTTAGAAGTTTGTGCAAGGTAGAATTAGCTTAATGATCCATTAACATGAAAAGATCTCACAGTTGTACAAAAGAAATAAGCTTGGAAGAAAGGAAGTGAATATATGATTTGGTTGAAATATGAAAAGGTGAACATGCGCTTGTTGAAACATCTAAAACATGAATCCCTTGCTCTACAGCTTTTCAGGTTCTCCTTTTAGTTATTTGTTGCAGCAGATTAATAGATGAGGTGTAAAAAGGCAGTTTTTTAAATAACTAAGTGCAAAATCAGTAAGCGTACCCTGACATTCGTACACTTTGTGCTATGAAATGTTAAATGAATATCAGCCACATTCCTGAAGCAGTGATGATTTTGTAGTTTCATAATGATCAATTAGGTTTTACCGAGCTCCTGTCGTGCGTCACACCTCCAGGTGCTCTCACAAAAAGCAGCTTTACGGATGAATATACAGCGTGAATTGACAGGAAGATTCACATAACTACTCAGAGAGGTGATGAACGGAAACGCTGTGTTTAGTGACAGCAAAACGGAGTCATCAGCTGCATGGAGCCGCACTTATCTGGATCTGAATGAGCCAGCAAATTCAATTAGCAAGTTAGAGGGCACACTTCCCATTTGGGGTGTTTTTGTTATTCAAGCCTAGAGAGTGTGTCCTCCACGGTTCAGAGATGTTCGGCATAACTTCCTGGTTTGAGTGGTTTTAATGTTGTGCGGAGAATAATTTTCTAACCGGTATGCCACGCTTCCTGCTCTCCAGTGCATTAAATCATCACTTGTGGAGGAATGTGGAGGACGGCGGAGTGCGTTTAATAAGTGTTATGATGTTTACGCCCGCCTGTGCTTACTGACTCTCAAACTGAAGTCTCAGTTGATCGATGGCCTTCTCTGGATGCCTCTGGGCTGCTGCCATGTACGCACTGAACACAGTTTACAGGCGCTGGCCTGCACTGGGAACAAATACGCCTCTCTGCTAATCCACTTACAGCGATAGGGGCCGATGGTGTTAGCAGATGTCCAGGACACTGTTGTACAGTAGGACATTTACGAGGCGGGTCAGCAGCTGCACAGCGGCAGGCTACATGTTTGAGTCACATAAAAACTGGGAATGGAGACTTGGGCTGGTTCCAGAGCTGTTATTTAATAACTCCCAGTGATAGTGGCAAAACTTGTTTTCTCTCTATTTCTGAATATCCATGATGTGTAGTAGTGGTTCATATTTCAGTCTCAATAACAACAACGACCATGTAACCGTGAAGCTCGTTTTAAGAGTAAATAAATGCAGAACAGTAGCATGAATGGGCCTGAATTGGTTTGACCCTGACTGTAATCATTAACAAGAGCTCTAGTGGACTTTATTTAAGCGGTCAACCCTTGGCAGCAGTTTATGTTACATTTTCGTTATGAAATGAGTTCTAGCTCCTCCTTCTCTTGTTCCTCCTCCTGCCTCCTCTTCCCTCAACCTTCTTGTCCTTGGTTGCTGGGTGCTGGTTTCCACTCACCCTGCAGTTGCAGCCCAGCTGGTAGCGATGGTTGATGCCTTTCTTCTGGGCCAACGAGAGGCGCTCCCACCGCTCGTTGAAGTTGCACAGCCCTGTGTAGACCTTGCCATCGTACACTCGACCTGAAGAAGAGAAGAATGGAGGCAAATGGTTAACATGAATCACAGTGATTGTTTAAATTAACTTCCGTGTAGGAAACCTCCACATCATGTACAGAAAATGAAATGGTGCTGAGCAAACACTGTCTCAATTGGTTTGTTTTTAGCCAAATAAAAAAAGGGCCCACTTAAAAAACAATATTAGTTAAAATGCACCCTATATTTGGAATATCTTCACGACTATATCTCGCTGTCAGACAGCCCTTTACGACTGCAACAGCTGTAATCTCAAAGCTGCCAGACCCCACTGACAAAACTAGTAATTTTACTTTGCAGAATACAGGAGTTGGTCTACTGCTGCCTTGAGTTGTTAGTTTGCAAGATAAAGCAGAGAATACATTCCAAATATAGCACAGGATTAGACTAATATTGCTTTAAATCAAGATTTTTGTTGTTAGCGTAACGTCACAGTGATTTGGCCTGTAGGCTCTGCTTGCTTTTGAAAAACTATATTTTTAAGTGTCACTTGCAAACCTGATTCCAGAATTTCAATTTGAACCAAAGTTGTGAATCAATCGCGTCACATTGCATCAACCAGATTTCTAGTGTTTTATAATAATAATAACTCCACTGGCCTTAGTCTCATTGGCAGTCACTTAATCTACTTGGCATCATATTGCTGGTATCTCATTTTGTCATTTATCTAATTTCCTAATCCTCCGCATGTAACATAGGATAATATAAACATACCACTCAAGCAATCCCACTTGTTTATCTATGGTAAGACAATCTCACATGGTAAGCCCATATTAAACCAACACCCCTATTTCTGAATATCAGAAGGTCAGCAGACGTCTATTTTTAGAACCGGACCGTTTGCGGCTTACCGACTCCTGAGACAGGTGCACTGCGGCGGCCTGCGAGCACTCAGGAACATCATGATTTGTCACCATATGTCTCCTTCACCATGTTGTCACCACACAGGAATTTGACAGCTCACAAATATGTGCTTCTTCGACCCCCCTGAACCTCCGCTCGGCCTGCATCCCTGCACTGGGATTACTGGAGTCACTCACGGGCTTATTACATGGTGTTGAGTGTGTGACATGCTCCTCAAATACTAATCAGGGCCAGAGCGCTCAAAGCTCGATCAAAGGAGAGCCAAGCCTGGTACCTTTAAATTGCCTGTAATGCAGTCTTGATCATATGCAGAAACTTATTATAGACGCCTTGAGAGCAGGGAAAGACGACAGTGACGTCACTCGCACCCCGGACTGGGTAAACATAGCTGACGCTGCCTGGCAACGCCAGCTCCTTCACTTGCACTGTGGGGTGCAGTTACAGTATTTACAGGTCGGGACTTAGCGACAGTTATATACGCCAAGCACCGCAGGGTCCAAAGTAAACTGCACCTCTGTTGGAAATAGCAACTCATAAAAGCTTCTGCTGGAAAACGCCAGTAGCTTCCTGCTAGCTGTTAATTACAAGTTGCGAGAGAGAAAACTGCTTTCTGCTGTTTCTGGCCTGAGACGTGGAGGGAAATGAGTGCAAAAATTTTAAAAAGGTCCCCCTGCTTTGCCAGCTCGCACAGTGGCAAATGGTAAGTTATAAATAGTGGGAAAGTTTGTGTCACAGGACAAACGAGGGAGTCCTTGGGGAGGAGGGGAGTGAGGGAGTGCGACAGGCCAAACAAACTCGTAACGCTGCAGGCGAATACTCTGAAAGGCCTCTGAGAGGGAACAAGATTTAATAGGCAACTAAAATGTTTTCAGCATCTCTCTGGTTAAAACAGATTTTGGTTTAAAGGTTGTGAGACATAATTCCGTTAAGCTCAATAAAAGAGGCAAAAAAGTAAGGCCAAAATCTAAGCAGCAGAGGATGAGATATGCTGCCTTTTAGTATGGGTCAAGCTCCAAAAACACCAGATCCTACATGTCCCATAATGCTACTCTATAGCATCTTTTGTAAAACCCTTCCTGCCAATGTTGACCTTTGATTAATACAACAATGTCAGCTTACCTGTGATCAGGTACTGGTACTTGTTGATGTCAAACTTCACCCCGCACAAACTCTCTGAGGCATCTGTGTAAATGTGCTGCACATGCTGGACCTTGTCGAATCCTTTGTACATCTGCAAGAGAACAAGAAACAAAATTGGAGTTAAAACCTGGACAGAATGTGCAGCACTGTACCTTTCACCCCGGCGCTACAGTACACCCCTGACTCCACCTCTTCATATAAATAATCAGGAATGAAAACAGTACGCCAGCTTTATCAGATAACATTCCTTAAGGAATGCCTCTCGGGATAAGGAGTATTAGGTTCTGCCCTTAACTAAATCATAGATAACATGATTACGTTGTGTAATGTGCTTCGACTTTGATGCTGTTTTGGCAAGGGCACTGCTAAACCGTGGACCTCAGCTCCTTCTATTCATCCTGGGTATGCAGAGCCAACAGTCAGTGTTTGCCCTGAGAACTGTTGTGTTTTCTTCACTTTAATTTATTTGTCTGGGAACAACAGGAAATCCCTGTTTAGACGCGTCGCTCCCAGAAAAGCAGAACAAACTGTTACTTAAGCCTGAAACTGTGGAGGTTTGGGAGAGCCAGAGGCATTTGTCTCATAGGATTTGTTGAAATTTGGAGGGAATCGCATTCTATTAAAGCCCACAAGGAAAACCACTGTTTGCGGTATAAACCAGCAGACTGTAATACAAATAAATAACCCAAGAGGTGCAAAGGTCACGTTTAATTCCTGAGGATAATCCTTACAGTGATGATTTGTGTGCTTCACTAACAAGAGGCCACTTAATGCTTTTGTACAAACTGGGATTGTACTGATGCAGTGCATGACTCTGTTGAAATGTTTACACTCGGAGTGAGGAGTTTGGTTGAGCTGTAATGCCTGTAAGCCCGCTAATCCTCCGGCCTGGCTCCTGTCGGAGCAGCAGGCCGATGTCAGCATCTGTCAGAAATATGCAGCGTTATGTAAGAATATAGAGGAAGTGAAGAGCGGGCTTTCAGGCTGAGTACCCCGAACTGCTTTTCAGCTATCACACAGCGGCTGAGGGGGCGGAGAGACAGCCTTGTAGCTGCCACATCCAGTGTATGGCATTTTGTGTGCCTGCGCTTTTAAATAGGAGATCAAAGAATATTCTTACATGGGAGGAAAAACAGGTTGTTTTTCATGGCGTTGTGGTTACAATCAGAATTCTGGATTATATACAGAGAAGAGAATTTGTCATGTGGGGTCACTGAGCATAACAATATGTTCACTCGCTATTCAAAAAGATTATCTATTTAAATGAGGGGCTATAATAAGAACCAAAACAAACAAAAGTCATCTTAATAAATTGCAATCTATGCCATTTATTTCAGCAGATACAAGTTAATGGTTTAATAAGAAACATGCAGAGCATTAATACAGCAGCAAACCATTATTTGCTATGTAAAGATATAATGGAGTGAAGACGTCCTGAGCTGAGAATAAAGTCATGCTACCTCTGTTTATGTGTAATCTGAGCTTCTCTGTGTTTTGTTGTAAAATGGTGCAGCCACACATGCATATTAATGCGTGTGTGTATCCCACTGGCTTGCTTACCGCAGTAAAGTTGTTTGAATTGAATTGAATTGAATTGAATTTTGACGTCACTCATACATTGGATACCACTGATATCTCGACGATGTTGTTGCAAAAGCAAGTGCCCACCTTCAAGTTCCCCACTGGGTAGCACTGTTGCCGTTGTTTAGCACTGTTTATGGAGTTAGCACCATTAGCTGCTAGCCGCCATCTTAGCCACCTCCATGTTGAGAACAATGTCCACATAACTCAGACACTCTGAATTTCATATAGAGCCTCTAGAAGTATTCTGCTGTTTCAACATGCATGTTTACTCCTTCATTTCCTCTCCCTTTATCACAGCAAAATGAGCAGTTCAATTTTTTTTGAAATGCGTTTACTCAGTTTCAGCTAGCCTGGGCTTGTCCAAAGTAAAAAACATATTCCTTTCTTTTTAATCTACACAGACAGAAATGTACTGAACACAAGTTGTGTTTTTATGAATGTGTTAACTACTTCGCTTTAGAGTTGTTGGTTGTTGTTAGCTTTGCTAAAGCTTATCTTAAAGACTGATAGCATCATTAATGGGCAGCTAGCTGTCCATTAATGTTCTTGATTGTGTAACGTTTCATTTCTTGAGCTTCAAAGGTGCTGGAAGGATTTTCCTAACTTTGAATACAGCCAGGCTAACTTTTTACCCCTTCGTACAGTCTTTATGCTAAGCTAGGCTAACTGTGCTAAGCTAGCCATATTGGCTCTAACTTCATGTTTAGCACTCTGACTTGAAACTGGCGTCTACCCTAGGTAATTTTTTGCCAAGAAATGGAGTAAATGTGCTTCCCAGAATATCTCACTATTCCTTTTAACGCAAAACTCAGAGCATATGAGTTGTCTCGACATGGTTCTTATCATTGAGGTGGCAGAGCTGGCGGCTAGCAACTAATGCTGCTAACTCCATAAAGGTAGCTCAGAGGTGACTTGATTCTCTGTTCAGGATGCCGCTACTCCACTATATCTTTACATTTGAAGTAGTGTTTTGCTGCAGTATTAATGCTCTGGATGTGGCATGCAGAACCTTTTAAGCTGAAAGAGATCCAGTGTCTCACTCAGCAGCACTTTAGCAGAGGACTGACACTCTCACCTTCATTTGCTTGACGGTGTAGCGCATTGTTCCAAAAGGTCCATCTCTCAGGAGCTTCTTGCCCACCACTTTAGCTCGGATCACTGTGAAGAGAGGGAGAGACGGGTCAATGACTTTGAATTGATCTGAACAAACTGTAACATTCCTCTAACGTATAACCATGAGCTTTCCTATCCAATCCATCAAATAACACTCTGTCTCGGCCAGTAGGAGGCATTAGCAAACCCATTATGAATACCATTTCAGGATCGGTTGGCACCACAGTTAATCCGTTTATCCGATTTTCTGCATAGCTGCTGTTTGCCAGGGAAGGCCAATGGGAAAAACACTACAGGGAGTTTTGAGTTTGATAGAGAAACTAGAGGGAAAGAGGCCTCATCCATGTGGCAAGGCTTCTCTCAAGATTGTTCAAGATTTTTTGGAAACGTGACTCCAGTAAGCTTCCTGTAGGTTAAAAACACCACAGTCATACAAGGGGAAAAGGGTGCAGTGTGTGTCTCCTCTGTTTCCTTCTATATTGGGCTCAGGGCTTGAAAAAGATCTTATCTGTGTGCAGGACCCTCATGTAAACATCTGCAAGGTGAAAACGCTCAGCGGTGACTTTGATTTGTTTGCTTTCACTCACATTGGCGTAAGGGGGCTTATTGTGAAAGGCCAGGGAGCTGGGAGTGTAGAAATGAGCGATCATTTGAGCCAGTGAATAGAGTCTAACCAGAGCTGCGGGCCCTGCATAAGCAGTCAATCCTCTGTGAAGTTCACCTGCTGCCCACAGCCGACCGGCCGCAGACACAACTAACACAGGCCATGTTTGTTATCTTCTCCCGGTGTAATTTCCTTAACACATTCTTCGGGGGCTCACATTCCCCAGAAAGGGAAAAAATGAGAAGCCTTTCATTCTTTTCTAAGGGAAAGAAATGAGGCATGTGGCATGTTCTGTTTGGTCTGTGTTTGTCTAGCTGTCCTACTTCCAGGCAAATGGGAATAGGCATAAAAATAAAACTCAAATAGGAAGCAGTTACTGCACGGCCACCCAAAAGTGGTAACCACAAACTTATTTTGGACATGAAGACCCCGGTTTGAACCAAGAGTTTATTTAAACAACCTCAAAAACTTTATTTTGAGCCAGTATTAACAAATCAAATGAATGTGACCATCCAGCAGCTCACCAATAGGAATACAGTGTTCTCCATTTGGTTCATTTAACTTAATTTGGTGTGTTGGAAAAATAGTTCCTTCCAATTCGACCATGTCAAAAGGACAAATGGGGTTCAGATGAGGTGTGGTGATTGAATGAGATGGCGAAGTGAGCATTCTTACAAACTTACAGTGACAATGCTAACATGCCGATGTTTAGCAGGCATTTTTTACTATGGTCACCATCTTAGTTTTGAGTATCAGCATGCAAACACAAGCTAATTTAAACCAAACAAATAAACAGCTGAGGATGAGTGTCGGACAAAGTGGAATTTTGACCTGATGACTGTGGTAGAAGTCAGAAGATCGCGAGAGTAATTACAGTTCTTCCCTTGGAGACCACGAATGTCTGAATAAAAATTCTTGGCAATCCGTCAAAGAGTTGCTGATACATATTAATTTGGTTTGCTTTGGTGAATGTGTGGTTAGGTTTAGGCACTAAAAGTACTCAGTTATGGTGAGGAAAAGATCATTTAACCCCAATTTTGATGGCATTATCCAGGCAGGAAACACAGCGATGTCTTGGTAAAAACAACTGCTTTTCGTGGCACTATCCCTGGTGGAAAAACAGTGATGGGTCGCTAAAATATACCCACATTTGTTGGCTAAAAACCCGCTGGAAATACAGCAACCAGTTTTGTAAGTTGCTAGTGCCGAACAGTCGTCTGCATCTAGGCAAGCGTTTCTCCTACGTGTCACGCCATCCACCATCCCCTCCAACTCCCAGTAAGGAAGTCAGCTCATAAATTACATCACATTTGTATGCTTCGTATGAAACAGAAAAATGTAACGTATATGGGGGTATGCAGAAAGATACAAAGCCAACATTGTCTTCTGCTGACTGGGCTAGGATTTATTCAGCTGAAAACGGCAAGCAGTGCTTCAGAATATCAACTATGCAGCTCTACAAACCTGCAAAATGCAAAAATCTTTTAAACTGCATATGATGCAACACTGTCTGTTCAGCAGAACATGTAGGTGATTGTTCTCCACCTGTTAGAACTCACTGACTCCAACCCCCTGCCCGCCTGCCGCTGTCTGACCTTTCACAATAACTCACCGCAGAACATTTGATCCATTAATCTGTCAGCTCTTTTAATATGAACCAAGAGCGCTACTGCATGACGGACCTCTGCTAAATGTTCCCAAATGCAGTTTGACAGACGTTTGCCGCTGCAATTACAGAGGAAGCAGTGCACAATTACAGAGGAATGTGCAGATATAACAGGACACTCTTGCCTCCGTTAAACACACTGCTGCCGTTATGTTCAAAAGTCACCCCAAAACCTAGTTTCCTCCTCTGCCCTGACCTCGAAACCAACCCTCAGGAGAAACAAGTGTCCGTGTTTGAAGGGCCACGGGTCAGCTGATTTCACCCAAGTACATCCAGATAGGTCCCCTCTTGTTGGACGGCAGCCACTAATTGGCCGGTGATGGTGCCATCACTCAGAGGAATGTGTGAAGGGCCTCAGCTGCTCCAGAGACAGAGGATTTGTGTCATTCCCCTGCAGTGACCCCTTCACCTCCTCTCAATTCAGCAGTTATATTTACGTACGACTGCAGGGCTGCCTTCTCACGTCAATGAGTTTATTTAACCCAGTTTCATAATGCAATCTCATATCACCTTATTTCAACTGGCAACTATGGACATACTGTGAAGATTCAAGTTTCAACCCTTCACCACTTTAACTACCTCTACATGTACATAAGTCTGTACTTTATAAGAATTGGTTTGCAAAAGCATCATTCTCATCACACAAAGTACAGCGCTAACAAAGCAGCGGGGGGGTCATGGCGAGCTGTCATGCTGCACAGACCTATAAAATTAAACTCAGCAAAGGAGTGATTGACCAACACTTAAAGGAAACGGTACATAGTTGCTCGTGGGCAGAACATAGGTGGTGCCAACAACTATACTATTTGAACCTGGTCGGTATAAAATCATTACAGGTGGATGATAGCTGTGAAAAGAAAGAACTGGACAGTTGGATCAGACGATCGTATTTGCGGTGCTCATTTCATTTCAGGTGTGTAATGTTAGCTAACAAATGAATCGTAATTAACCAACACAAAAGTGATCATTTTCTTTAAAATGAAGGTTTGACATGTTAATGTTAATGTTTTGAGTCAAGTTGGTAGCAGACATGTTTGCTAGAAAGCTGTCCAACATTTATTAATGTAATGGCTTGCGTAAATAAAGTAATAACGTTAGCATGCACAAACTAGTCAGCCAAGTTTCGGGATGCTATTATAGATAAAGACATCGCAAATTTTCACTTTACAGAAAATGATCACTCTTGTGAAGGTTAGTTATTACACGATTGTCTGATCCTAGTGTTTGGTTCTTCCTTTTCACAGCAATCATCCACCTGTATTTTCTTGTCTAACGTCATCACCCAGGTTCAGATAGTATCGTCGTTGGCGCTGCCTGTGTTTTGCACACCAGCAACTAGTCTGTGACATCACCTCGGTGGTTGTAGCAGAACAAAATGCAGCTGAAGTGTTCGCATTTGCAACTTTATTTGGTTGAATTTATTCAGATACTTTGAATCTTAAAATCAAATTAAAATATGAATACCTCTTTCTATTTGTGTAATGAATATTAAAAAGGTTAATAATCCAGTAGTTAAGTTGAAATATCTATCAGCTTCTCTATCCTGTGATGTAAGAGTCTCTCTGCCTCTTACTTTGCTAAACACGAGGAATTACAGGCCAGTGCCGTGACGCACAAGTATTCATCTTCTGCAGAGGATCTGACATACATTTTCAAGAGTGGGAGGCTTTTCATGATAAGAGAGGTAACCAGGGTCTGGCAAAAAAAGGAAAAAAAGAAGAAGTGAATCCATTTTTCACCCAGTATCTCTTGCCTGAAGCAGGGGATTACACAAGCGTGAATGCAAATGCTAAATCTTAAGGTGAGCATGTAATTTAGTTAAACATTTATTTCAGCCTACGTACAATGTGGCAAACTGCAGGCATGACAAGAATAAGGTTACTCATTCGTGTGTGTGTGTGTGTGTGTGTGTGTGTGTGTGTGTGTGTGAGTGTGAGTGAGTGAGTGAGAGGGAGAGAAAGAAAGCGAGGCACAGGGCGGGTGACGGTGATTTTAGTATGCAGAAAGTGGTCCAAGTTTGAGGAAGCGAGTGGGAGGAAGAGGAATTCTCAAGACGACACACTACCACGCTCAAAAATAAACACTGAAACTGAATCCGCTGAAACGCTGGAGCAGAACGCCTGCAACGTGCACTTACTGGTTGGCACAATGGAAAAAGAAGCCTGTGAAGCAGGACTTTTTATCACTGCCTCTGATTCCTGATGACTTCTAGTTTCCAACAATGGTTCTGTCCGATTGAGCCATTGGAATTTCTAAGCAACTAGTCATTTAAATCTAAATGTGATGCTAGCTGATCTAAGTTGTCCAAGCTAAAACCTGTGTCTTAAAGCTGGGGTAGGCAGTTTGATTTTGGCATCATGTGGCAAAAATCTCATAGTAAACTTTGAGCATATTGCAATTCAAATGGTCTGAGAGAAAACCTGACCTCTGTACCTCAGTTTGGCTCTGTTTTCAGCCTATAGAAAATCTAGCTAGTGACGGGAGACTTTGGCCAATCACAGCTGTCAAGCAGTCAGCTCGTGAACTGCAGTCAAACCAGGCAGCACTGATCAAATATGAATCAAGATTCTGTTACTGCACTGCCTGTTCCTCACCTCAAATGTTTTCAGAAACATATTTTAGTATACTGTTTAGCTGTTAAATGAGAATGTTTGAGACCTAGCTGCCAAAACGAAGCACCTCCCACCTGCCAGGGCAAACTATCTCAGATTGGTTGCACTTGTGATTCTTGCAAATGCACTTAGGAGCACTAGAGGAGCATGATGTTTTTTGTCA